TGTGGGTGGCAGGTCATGCCTTTTTTTTCTTTTCCATATGTAGTCTGAGAGTTAAATAACTTTTTCTACCAGCGTGTAACATCTGCTTCTGTTCTTTCTTTACTGCTTGGCCTTTTTCAATCTTCCTCATATTCTTCCTTACATCCTTCATGCAGTTATTTGTTCAGTTAAGTCCATGGCAAATTTCTGCAGTAGTCTTAGTTCTTCCTGTAGCATGTGCTTTGTTTGCTTTGGAATTAGTGTATGATTGGTTCCAGAATACGAATTTGTTAGTGTACCATAAAATGTCCATTATTTTATGATTTCATATTTTATTTATAGAATAGTACATATATTTGGAAAAAAACCAACAAAACCCCAACCCAAACTAACCCCATGAAAACCAGCTAGCTCTCCATAACTGATTTGTACAGTATTTTTAGAGAATTCTGAACTCCCATAGCAGGATTCTTCCTTAGTGACTCAAGTAGCATGGGCAAGAATCTGATAACAATTGTGTTTGTCATTTATTGTTAGTACCTCTAAGTTGACTGTCTCTGAGAATTTGATTCATATATTCAGAAGCTTAAATTAAGTACCCTCTAATGTTGGCGTTTACCCTTTGAAACAAGTTGTAATTTTTCAGGTTTTGTTTCTGTCTGCTATTTTGTATGGCAGTTTGTTCTTAAGTGAATCTGATGATAGGAGCTCTCATCCTTTAGCCTGCTTGCTATCTGAAAATTAACATGCAGATTAGCTGGCATGACACTTGCTTGGGGTTTCTTAATTGAGACTTTGTTCTATCTGGCTTGAAGCAAGTATTAGTATCCCTTGTGATATCCCACCTGCCAATTAAGTTTGAATCACTGTGCAATTGTGTGCCCAGTGTTTCAAACTATTTGTGCCTGCTTCCACAACATCTAGTTCTGGCCAGAAATGACATCCTGGATAAAGAAAATTTTCATTATTTTTCACAGAAAAAGATTTTTCTCAGAAAAAAAATCCAGTTAGCTTTAGGTAACTGTTTTGTAGAGTATTTTGCTATAGAAACATGAACCCTTTGGTATCAGGGCCCTTTGTTACTGATGCAGATTATATGAACTGCTCAGAAAAATGATACCTAGAAATAATCTATTTTGCAGTTACTTCATATTTCTTTGTTTGCCTTTGTAGTAATAAACGATTTTTTTTCCCCCAGATGCATTTGAAGCTGCTGATAATGCCATTGATGTTGGCCAGGATGACCTTGATTTTGCTGGGTAAGACTTGAAATTGTTTTTTTTCACCTCTTCTTTTCATATTGATGTAGAGTTTTACCTTGCAAAATTGCACAGACCTTTTTCAAAGCCACTCAGAATATCACCTTTCAAAAAGGGCAGTATCAGCTGAATGCTGGGTAATGCTGCTTTTCTGCATGTCCCATAATGGAGCACTGTGATCCTGTGGTTCTTACAGTCTGCTGGCTTGACCCGAGACCTGTAGTATTTTGTTTATACAATGCAGTGATTCAGTAAGCAAGGTAAAAATCTTGTTTTTCATGGTCTCAGGTTTCTGAGAATTACCACGTACAAGAGCAGGTAGAATGGGGCATAATGGTACTGCTGCAATGAGGACTGTTTGAACTGGACCTACTGCAGTAAATAAACTCTGTGAAATCCAGAATCACAGAGCTCAGTTCTCAGGAAGTCAGCAGTTTCATGAATCAATCATAGACTTACATAGGTTGGAAAAGACCTTTAAAATTTAAAAAGACCTTTAATGATTAAGTAGCCTCTTTTGAATCAACACAGAAACTTTCTTTCTTTGAGGTGAAAGGAGAATTAAAGCTTAAAGTGTTTTTGAAACCTGAACATTTTTGTGAACTAGACTGGTGTGAGTGAAAAATAGTAGAAAGGAGACAAACCCAAGTAACCGTCTAGTATATGAAGAACCATGTTTCCTTACTTAAAGGAAAAAGAAGTATTATTTCTTCATTTAATAGAGTTGCTAGGGATAGCTTCAGTGTGTGTGTCTTGCAGAAAAGATACTGAAGCTGACATTTCTGTTATTTTCATAACAGAATTCTCTTTAGAACTTTTTAAAATGCTTTACTTTTATAATACAGTTCCACATGTTGATATTGAAAACGTACCTGAGTGCATAACATGTGTTTCTTTGGTCTCAGCCTGCATGTATAGTGGTTTGCAATGATCTTGAACTTTTCCAACATAGTGTTTGTGTGTAGATGTCATCTGGGTGTAAACAGTATTTTGCCAGGTAAAGTGCTAAGCTTGTTTCGTATTTTTTTAGTAATATAAAAAAGAAAACCAAAGGCAGTAAGAAAGGCCAAAGAAGTGAAGGATCCAGTGCTGACGGGGAGGATTCTGATGATGAAGATGAATTCAGTGATCTGGATGATGAGGAAGTCTCCTTAGGAAGTATGGAGGAAGACTTTGAAGAGGATATGGATGAAGAGGGAGGTGTATTTATGGATGTGTCTGATGATGATAACAGCCTAGGTAAAGTACCATTTCTTACAAAAAAAAAAAAGAAAAAAAGAGCTTTAAAACTAGGTTATCTAATATGTAATTACATATATAAATTCAGATTCAGTTACCTAAGTGGGAGGTTTGGCTTTTAAGTAGAGAAGTGACAAGACCTTCTCTGGACAATGAAGTCTTGAGAGAGACATTGCCTGGAACAGTCTCCCAAGTGTGAGTGGGAATTTGGCATCTGGGGATAAAAATTTGCAAGGAAGACTTGTTTCTTTCATTCTGAAAACATTGGCAGTAACAAAAGTAGCTTTATACACAAATAACTGGGTACAGTAGGCAGAAATATTAAAAGATCTCCAAGAGAAAAATAAAAAGGAAGTGTTGCTACTTGGTGATGTTTGGTTTTTTTTATTTCTTTAGACCTAGTTAATGTTTGGGTTTTGTTTTGTTTTTTTAAATGAGGTAACTTTTATTTTAATTGCTGTCTCATAAGTAACAGCTGCTCTTCTAATACAACTGTGCACCCAGATTTTTATTACCGTTGTAATAATAACTGATTGTTGCACCTTCATGATTTTATTATCTTTTCAACTGAGAAGCACAGCTTACACTGTACACGCTTTACGTGGCTGGAAAAGCACAGATTAATGAGGTATTTCAACTAAAAACTGAAGGTCATAGGGAGATGATTGAGGGCAGAGGAGGTAAATTACTCATAGAGCTGTTAACACAGTAGTTGTTCATATTATTATTTCACCCAACTTACCAAGCAGACATTTGAGGTGTATGTAACATCTGCTTTTAGCCTTCATATTTTATGTATCTTAGATTCGTATTTCATTCCTTTTTGGTGCTGTGGAAAAAAGCATAAAGAATGGTGCACCACTGACCAATTTTTAATTGTCTGGGTTGAAGAAATCCCAGATTTGGTTGTTTGTGCTGTGTTTTAAACTTTTTTAAAGTAATGACTTGGACCGTTATAAACCAAAAAATGCCTAAAATGAAATTTTAGTATCTGCTGTGCTTTAAATATACGTACATGATGTGAGAATGAAGATTTGATGTATCTTTTTCTTTTCTGTCAGACGCAAACAATAACAAACAATTGAAGTCTGTCAATAAAAAGGGCAAGAGAAAGAAAGATATGAATTTTGCGGGATCACTAGAAGGTAAGGGAACACTGCCATGATTTCCATGTGAGAAAGCTTAATACAAATACAGTCTGAAGAGCTTTGGGTTTTGGTACATCAGATTATCTATGCCTTTGGATGAATAAACCATGAATTAAAAGGAGGTTGTCCTTCAACCACCATTGCCGAATTCAGAGTCACAATCTGATGTTGGGACTCAAAGCAGGAACTGGGACTCAAAGAAGGAACTTTCAAAGGAAAATTGGAGTTGTACTTGCGGTTTGTGCATCTGTTCCTAACGTCTGATTTGTGCTATTAGTTCTTGGTTGGAAAGTGCTTGTTCCATTTTCTTGGGGGGGGGGGGCGGGGGGGAGGTGAAGAATAAACATTTCTAACAGCTATTTTAGATGGTCTCAAAAACATGTTAAAAACCTCACCAAAACCCAACCACATGGTAACACTTTGGTTTAGTGTCTTTCTGAAGCTGAAATTCTGTTTTATAAGAATAATGCTTTTTGTTTGAAGGATCCAATCGAGGAAAGAAGAGAAAACTCCAAGATGCCAAGATACTGGCATCTGCAGAGGAGGTAAGTTTGATCAGTACTTAGCAAAAAGTGATCAAGCATTTTACCTGGTTCTTTGTAATAAAATACTAAAATTTCTCTCTTTAAAGTTTGGCTCTCTGCTGGATGAAAATGTTGGGTCTAAGTTTGATAATATTGGAATGAACGCCATGGCCAACAGAGATAATGCAAGTAAGTACATGGTACAAACAGCAGAAAGGTGTAATGCTGTTTCACTTCTCTCTCTTCCGGTTCTGTAGTTAATAAGATGTACCTTCTCTAACTGAAATTCACATGTGGTCAGAAGTCACACATAGGGACGGTAGGTCACTGTCAATAAGACATGACAGTCAGTTACTAGCCCAGTGCTAATGTTAACTGTGTCTACTGGAGAGAGCAAGGCTTCAGAAAAGATGAAGAGGCTATCATGTGGCCCTTTCACACTGTAAATAAGGATGGGCAGCATGCTGTCTGTCAAGCATTTGTGTGAATTTTGCTCTGATAAAGTGTCCTGGATTCCTGTAAAAGGAAGGCATATGACATGGCCATTTATATACCTACTGGGTTATTTCCTTGCAGTATCAGTGAAGCAAAAGTAGTTCCCCAGAAATAATTCTAATGAATTAAATGTGCATATACTGAGTGAATAATCAGTCCTCTCTAGAGCTTTTACAAGTCTTGCTGGTGTCACCTGAAAAATGTGAACAGCAGCACTCAAACACTGTGTACTCTTAACATAAGCATATCTAGCATTAGTAAAATACAAAGCAATGGCAAGAGTGGTCTTAAACTATGAGGTGCTGAGCAGGTGGGGTATGTTCTGTGAAATGAAAACCCCAAAACTTTCTCTGGTGTCAAAAACAAAAAGGCAGCTTGCACTTTATTGACATTCATAAATACAGCAGCCAAGTTTTAACTGTTACATGTTTCATCTGTATTTTACATCATTATCAGAGATAGCTGTTCACTCCTTGTCACCTTTCCTCTTACAGATATTAAACAGATCCAATGGGAAATAGAGCGCGACAAATGGCTTCATGACCGGGATGTGAAAAGCATCATAAAAAGGAAGAAACAGTTCAGGCACAAAGGGCTGAAAAACAAGTACAAAGGCAAGAAATCAAAAAGATGAACTGGGCATTTTAATATGGACATTTTTTACAATAATTATTCTAAAATAATTTTTCAGTCAATCACACACCTTTCTTACTTCAGTTCTTGCTGCTTAACCATGCCATTTGGTCATTCTCCCTTATGCCGTGAATTCCAGACCACTCATTGGATTTGTAATACACTGAAAAATAGGAAAATCCGTGTCAGCTCCAAGTAAGGCATGTCCAAAGGTGTGCCACTTTGTGGCTGTTTTTGTTGGATGTACAGTCCTTCAGTTCCAAGGAGTCTATCCAACAGAGACACTCCAACCACACCTCTGCATAACAATAAACACTTCTGCAGTGTCTCCTGGGATAAGTTTTAAGCAATAATAAAATTGAGTTTGTATGAAAGATACAGCAGAAGCTTCAGCCTCCTTCTGAAGCCAACAGCTGCAAACCTACCTTCCAGAATTGATGGGAACTTCTTCTGCATTGTGTATCTGAAGTCTGGCAAAAAAGATAAGTCACGGTTACTTTATCCACCATGTTTAGGGTAAATAATTAAATGCACTATTTTTCTAACTAGATTAGTTTTACCTAAGTTTGAGTTCCTTAGTTACAGCCATCATTAAATAATGTGATCTGAATTTACTTTTTTTACACTGTATTACAGACTGTATTCAGTTTATTTATATGTGCAGCCCTATCATTGCAGTGTTTTCTAAGCTTTCTCACAATTGTGATAACCAGATACAAGCTACAGATTCACAGGAAGCTGAATGCCTCTAGCAGATTGATGTGCAAATGAAAACTGGGAAAACTACTCTGCTTCCTTATGCAGCTTTAGGTGTTTGCTGAATCCTCATGAGGGCTGCTCTGGCAACCCAATAGAAAATCATGTAATGATAGCTTTGTGCTAGTTTAATGAGTAACAGCAGCTCACAGAAGGATCTTTCCAATGATAGTACAAACACAAAGAAAGCATTAAAGCACACTGAGTTGTTAAAAGAGCTCACTGCACTTTCCAGAAATACATCAACTACAGCTTATCTTCTGCAAAGGCATAGAAGAGCTAGGACCTAGAACTGAAAAGGAGAAATGAGAAACCATGAATGTCCAGCACCAAGCTAGCAAGACAGGCCCATACACATATCCTGCAGATTTTTATTATCTATTTTTTTTAATAAAAATGCAAAGAAAGATAGCTGAAGTATAACAGCCTGCCGGCATCTGGTAAGAAATGCCAACTGACAGCATAGGTGAAGTTAGGCTTGAGCTACTGCTGAAATGGGTGGGCTTGTGACCTCCAAGCCACCGCAGCAGCTGCCTTTTGGCTGGCACTGGCCGTGCTGGTAGCAGGACTGCCTTCTCCCACAGCTCTGGCAAACCAGCACTGCGACCTGCTGAGCCCTGAATGCAAAGTAAGACCACTGCTGTGCAGAACACATCTTGCAGTACTGAGCTGGAGCTTGGCTTATTTTTGTGTTGCTGAGGCAGAGTCCTAAGTCTGAGAGACTTGAGGGACTGAAGGTGAATCACTGGGAAGATGATGCTGGGTACCTCATGCCAGCCGGGTCTGATGTCTACCTGGGAAATGTCAAATCACAGAGCTTGTGAGACCTATATCCGAGAAAGGGCACCCCTTCAGGGCTGAGCATCAGGTGCCTGAAGGAGGATTGGTAACTGCCTCATTGCAGACAGCCTCTCGTTTTTAAATGCCTGTTTGAACTGATGCTGTTACTGTTCAAACACACAAACCCGGCTTTGTTCCTGGGGGCCATGTGCTGCCTTTCAGGAGTGTCTCCACGGTTTTGGCTTTGCAAAACTAAACCAGCAGCTTGTCTGTAAGAGCTGTACTCGAGGTTCCGTGCAACAAACAACACTGTGTGTGTACCTACGCTGACACAAGCCGAGCCAGGTCAGTAGAGCCTAATTTACAAACCCCTCCGCAGGCAGCGTGAGGTGCTCCGAAGGCGCCTCAGGCGGGGAGAAGCTCGCCCTGCCCCGGCCGCCATCCTGTCCCCCGGCCGTCCCGCCGCACCTTGGCTGCGGTCCATGGCGCGGTAGAGCAGGAGAGCGCCGAGCAGCCCCGCCGCCTCCAGCACCAGCAGGCCTTTCACGACACGCCGAGCCATCGCCGCCGCAGGGCCACAGAGTTCTTCCGTCACCGACGGTACGGGCCGCACATGCGCCGTTTCCGCGCAGCGGGCTGCGCATGCGTCACCTCGCGTCTTCCTGCTAATGTGGTGGCCGGTTCGACGCGGACGTTTGTGTGTGAGGCCGTGCTGAGGTGATGCCTTGCTGCCCGGGTACGGGCAGCGGCTGCAGGAGGTGGCAGGAGCTGCCCCGGTCCCGTCGCTGCCTGGGCAGGGCTGGCACAGTGGTGCTGGTGGCAGTCCGTGACTCTCGCTGGTCACCTCTGGCTGAGGGCAGGTGTTCCGATGTGGCACTGCCTGTTTCTGCTGCCAGGGACACCCACTGTCATACCCTGGGAGCCAGCACTGTTCTGTTTACTGCTAGGGGACTACACAGCTAGGTACACGAGGCTCAGAGCTGTTGAAAAGGGATCCTAGTTCTTTCATGGAGATGTTGACAAAACCTGTGCCATGCAAGATCATCAGAGACTGTAGTGACAGGACAAGGAGTAACGGGTTCAAACTTGAACAGAGGAAGTTTAGATTGGATATAAGGAAGAAGTTCTTTACTGTAAGGGTGTTGAGGCACTGGAATGGGTTGCCCAGGGAAGTTCTGAATGCTCCATCCCTGGTGGTGTTCAAGGCCAGGTTGGACAGAGCCTTGGGTGACATGGTCTAGTGGGAGGTGTCCCTGCCCGTGGGTTGGAACTAGATGATCTTAAGGTCCTTTCGAACCGTAACCATTCTGTGATTCTGTAATTCTACCTCAGTATGCATCTTTTTGATGTGAAAAAGGGTGTTAGTGCAGACTAGCTTCCATATAGGTGTATTTAGAAACTAGAATGGCAGCATCCTTTCCTTACCAGTAGTGTTCTTCCTGTTCTGTAGTTTTGATTTCAGTGTTTTATATCATTAACTATCTATTTCTGTTGACTCATAGAGTGGGGCTGGCTTTATGGCCGAAATAAAACCTCTTGGGATTTTTCTTAATAGGGATTTTCTTTTCTTTGTGAGATGCTATTTATTCCCATTAATGTTACGGAAGATTAGATCTAATATTTTGCTGTTCATTCCCACAGGGTAATTAATTACCCAATTCTGTTTCCCTGGTGGCTGAGCTTGCAAGAATTACTTGCTCTCAATGGGATTTCTTCCTAAAGTAATTCCTGCTCTGTAGATTGTCAGTGGACAGGATCAACTGAGGTTCCATTTCCAGAAAGGAAGGAAGGGAGGAAAGAAAGAAACATACCAAGTTTAGGGGAGGGTAGAAGGATTTCTGCTCCATCCCTTAATACTGTCTAGTTAAAGGCCCTCACTGCATTAGACTGACAGTTTCACACCCCAGAGGTGGCAAACATGGTTGAGGATAAATAACCTTTGTTGACAAGATAAGTAAAGTGTTGGCAAAGTGTGAAGGGCTTACCTTGAAGGATCTGCTGTTCTCCTGTCGGGGGACCCCATATCCTGTCACAGTGTGCAGTGCGGAAATGTTCCAAGCTCTGGAGGACCTGGAAGCCAGAAGAGATTATATGGTGCTGGTGTCGTACCCCAAATGTGGTGGATAAGTTATAAATTGTTTGTGAGCCACGATACTGTAACTAATGAGCTGAAACAATAAGAAGGCAAAACAACTGAATGTGGGTTTATATTGTGTGAGGACATTGGGCATTGCTGCTGCAGCTGGAGGCAGCAGGGTTTTGTCCAGCTTTATGTTACTCAAGCAGGCTGTCGTACTGCTTTTTAATATGGTTTATGTTTCTGGAAGGAAGCTTTGAAACTGTTTTTTGACTGAAGAGGGAAGACTAAAGCATATTTTTTATATATATAGCAGTGACACAAGACAACTTTGCCAGTATGATAAAGTGTTTTCTGGAAAGCTTGTTAGTAATGTAATTTAGTGTAGTGTACAAAAGCAATAAAGTTATGCATTAGACTTTTTAATGAGCAGAAGGTGTCAGGACACAGCACCTTCGCTTGCAAAATTGTAAGCTGTTTCTTGGCATTATTCAGTATCAGCATTGTTTTTTTGTGTTTTGTTTTGTGACTGCAAAATGGTATTGAGTCAGAGGCTTGCAGAAAGGAGGAAAGGTGCAACAGGAGCAGTGAAAAAGACCCAAACAACCCACTGCTTGATTTTGACCAGTTTTAGCAAATGTCAAGTGTGACATGGTTGCTTACAAGAATGCTTACAAGAAACGGATGGGTTTTGCTAATCTAGGAAGTCCTCCCCCAAGAATATGTTTCTTATTTAAAACCTAAGAAGCAGAAGCTTCTTGGGTTGTCGAAGAAGGTTGTTGGAGAAAATATGGGTCCAGAGAAGGATTTCATTTCATGAACATGGTGGTGGATGCATTCAAGTTGGGCTCTAACCAGGGAGTCCTAGATCAAGATCTCATTTGGCACACAGAATCCATGCTGGCTAGTGAGTTCTGATCTGGAAAGAGACTTTTGTATGTTTAGGGGTGTAGGAAGTATGCCTGTAATGTTTAGGGTGAATTTATAGCAGTTGTGAGACAGAATACCGAACCAACAGGAAGAGAGGGAAAATACAAAAGAAGAGAGCTAGCACAAAATATGAAATGTGCATCTTTATTTTAAGGATCCCATAATTCCTTTGGGTTCGGGTCTGGCATTTTGCTGGACACTAGGAAGGCCTAAAAGGTCATTGTCAAAGCTTAGCTTTGATTTCTCATAGAGTTTGGAAGAGTTCAGACATGGAGCTGTGATGCTGATTGCCTCTGAGGTTTAGTAACTCAGTAAACCTCTCCTGCTTTGGGAAAAGGATCAGTAGATAAAGATCTCACACTGCTAATACTGGGCAGTTTGTGGTAGATCAGTGTCATGGTTTAAGCCAGTAGGTGATTTAGAGACTAGGGATTTTAGCTGTATCGACTGAAGGTTTTTGTTAAAATTTGTATTTGTGCACATGCAGTTACTATTGGGCAGATGAGGACATGGATTTGGAACTCTTAATGCTTTTGGCTCTGATCTGCGTATAAATGGGAGAATGGTATAAATCATAGAATCATACAGTGCCTTATAAATAAGTATGATTGGGTGGTATATAAATGTAATATTCTAAGACATTATGTGATGTGTACAAATTGTATAAACATTACTGTACTATGCTGACATACCAGCTGCTTCCATTCAAGCATCCTGAGGCACTTTGTGTAGCATGGGGTGGAAGTTATTCTGTTCTGAGAATAACTTTCCACTGAAAGCATGAGGTTAAAGCTGTTTGCATTGCATGTTCCTTGCTAGTGCCTCTGGCAGCTGTGTTCACAGGGGACTTTCAGCGTGCAGGAGGCGGCAGCTCCGCAGCTCCATTTCTGTGGGCCTGGTGGGAAGCCTTCCAAAGCACCTCCCCACAAGGATGCAGGGAGGGTGCTGTGGGCCAAGGTGAACACACTGTTCCCTCGCTTTGTCCTGCCGGCAATCGGCAGAGTATCAGAGGAGCAAATGTGATTCCTGGAAACTTCGGGAAAGCAGGCACCATGGCACAGCTCCAGGAGCTGGCCACAGGCTCACACTGGAAGAGGATCCAGTGTGGGGGAGGCTTTGCTGCAAGATCCCTTCCAAAGGGTCAGAGGTGGTGAGAATGCAGGTGTCCAGTGGGTAACAGCTCTTCTAGCACTTGTTCTGGTGTGCACTTTATAGAGACAGCGATAGGCACAGAGGACAAGTGCTAGCAGTGATATTGAATAGGTGACTGTATTCTGTCCTTGACCTAGGGCAGTAGAGAGAGCCAGGTGCTGCCCTTGGCAAAATGAGTGACGCTGCTTGCTCACTCCTTCCCTCTCCTATCTAGAACCTTCCCAGATGCTTCTGCAAAAGACAAGAAAGCTCCTGTTATTGTCTGGCACTCTTTAATGAATATGGTAAAATGATGTTAAGTGCATTGTTGATCCAGTTCTGCCCCCATACCACATAACCAGTTATAAGTGAGCCCTTGGTCACAGTTAAGAAGCTGCTGAGGATCTCATTAATGGAAGGCATTATTTTATTTATAATCATTTCAGAACTTCAATACTATTTGTCATTTGATGACTGTCTATTATGCTGAATTAGCCATGTAATGAGAAGGCTCTGGGATCTTATATAAACCTCTGCTATGTTTCATTTTGTTCTCTGGGTTTCTTAGTGCAGGTGTGAACTGGCTTATTGAGATTTTAAGTGATTTGATATTTACAACTATCCAGCGTAAACCTGTGAGCACAGAACTACCATTTATTGAATGTGGAGATCCAGGTAAATACCAGGTTAGTGAAAAGAAGCTATTGAACTACTTAAAATCTGTTGTTTTCTCTCTCCTGCACCCCCGCACACAAGTTATTAAAATGAAGTCATGCAGCAAGTAAAGATATTTCTCCTGAGAGGGAAAAAACGATAATCTGGGATGACTAATGCCTTTTGATTAGGGGCTGTTTCACACAAGCGACTCTCACAAATCATTGCTGCACCCATTTAATAAACCTGTTCTCACTTATGGTTCTGTTTATTTCTAAAGAGATGAAGCGAATTCCATCTCTGAGGATTTTGGCAACACATCTGAATTACGACTGCCTCCCCAAGTCTGTTTTCAAGAACAAAGCCAAGGTGGGCTTTTTCCTTTTTCCAAGAGCAAGCCTCATCTCTCTGACAGTGCCAGCGTGCAAAAGTGATTTTGGGACCACATCCTTTTCTTGCACCCAAGCAGGTCGCACTGGGGGAAAGCAGCTTGGAGACAATGGGAGTCTTACGATGCCTAGGCTAGCTTAGCACCCTCTGTGATTTATAGTAGTTTTAGGGGCACTGTAGTTGACATAAACAAGAACAGATCTAGAGGTTGTTGCAATGCTCAGAAATGGCTGGAGTGTCACGCTTTCCTTTTTTATATTACTCTTCTATGCACAGCCATAGTGGGAATCAATGTGGCAGCAGTATCTCTGGGACATTGGCTGTCTCCTTGCAAAGAGTCACACTGTTAAAGCTTCAGTATTTCTGATACTTGGTCACTGATCAGTGAAGGATACATAGCACTCAGGAGATGTATCACAGATGAAGGAAACAACTGGTTAAGGGATGAGGACTTGTTCTATGTTTAACTGGTATTTCACTGTCCTGTAAGAGACAGGAAAAAATGTAGTGCGTATAGCAAAAAATTTAAATATGTATAAGGTGTTTTCAGAAGTGTTCATGCTTCTCTAAGGATTACAGTCTCTTAGGATTTTAAGAACATTATTGACATGCTTTGAAAAAATGGGAGATGTTTGTAACAGCTGCAGTTTCCTCAACGAGAGTCAAACAGAGATTTTCCTAGCAGAGGGTTGGGAAATGGTTGCTTACAACTTATCCCAGATCTTATGGGATAGTATTGAATCACAGTATTACAGTTTTCCCGGTTGCTTCTTTCTACAGTTGCTTCATGACATAAGCAAATCTTGGAAGTTGTAAGAAGGTCTTTATTGTGTTCATGTTGTAAGTTTGTTATCCATGCCTTAACTAATAAAATATTTTGTAGCCCCCAGTATGTTATTGATTGCAGAATGTTTGGTTATATTCTCATTTTGGTTGCCAGGGGAAATAAGTCATCTAAACTTGTTGACTTCTTTTTCCCACTCCAGATACTAGTGCTGTTTTGAAACCCTAAAGATACAGCTGTTTCATTTTTCCATTTCCACAACAATGTGCCAGGCATCCCCTGTTACAGCTCTTGGGATGAGTTCTTCTCAGAGTTCATGAATGGGAAAGGTATTGTTGCAGTTACCGAATGTAGCTGAAGAAGCATCAGAAAAAAAAGAATAAAATTAACAACAACTAAATGGGGCCGTTGGGAAAACAGCTGTGTCATAATTAGGTTACTGATGGCCATATGTCATGATAAAGGAGGCAGCTGAATGCCAGAATGGGGAGAATGTCCAAAAGATTCTTTGCTTCTGGGTATTTTTCTCTTCCAAGCAAGGGTGAAGGAGTTGCATGGCAGCTGGACAATAGCATTGGGTCAACATTCTGCCACTTAGTGATGAATGAAATGCTACAGATCTGAAGTGTTAATAAAATGACAGTTTGATGACTTTACTGCTTCTGAACATGAGGCCAAATACCTCATTAGTAACCCAAGTTTTAGGTTTAGACCGATGTGTGGCTTTGGCTTTTAGGGGATGTTTAAATGACAATAAGTAACAGAGGGGAAGCACTTAGTTAAATTTGTATTTCTGTGTGGAAACTGTTTACCTATAAAAAGTCTAGAGGAAGCCTCTGTCATTCTGTTGTATAGTAGCACAGAAAGGGCAGGCTGTTCTGTTCCTTTGTATGGATGAGAAATAAGTACCCAGTAAGAAAAGAATATCACGCTGATGCTTTTATGTTCTTCTTTACAGTCAGCTGGGGATCCTGTTTTGATCATGCAGTCACCTGGAACAAACACATTCAGGATGAGAATACTATGATTGTAATATATGAAGACCTGAAGGAGGTAAAACGGTTGCTATGAACTGACAGGCAAAACACATCTGAGCCCATTACTTGAAATTTGCTGAAATTAACAGGAAAATTTCAGAAACCTGTGTTTCTGAAAGAGAAAAATCGAATTGAGAGACAGCTTGAGTCTAGCTATACAAAAGCTGAGCTCCAGTGTAATGCAGAAAACACGGTGAAGGAAAATGTATTGTTAATAGATGATAGCAATGCACATCCCAAGTGAGTAACTCCTTTATTAGAGTAAGCATACTGCATCTTTCCTTTTCACTTCTAGAGCCTGACTGCCAGCTTAAAGCAGATAGCTGAGTTCTTTGGATTCTCCCCAACGGCAGAGCAGATCCAGTCCATTGCAGACAAGGCCACTTTCCAGGCAGTGAATGATAAGGCTCAGGAGATTCATGGTGCTGTTGGCTCATTTCTTTTCCGCAAAGGCAAATTTGTTTGTATTTTTCCAGGGTGAATAGTGGTGAATGGTAGCACTGCATCTTGAGCAGACAGGAGTTTGGGTCGGTAGATGGTTAATCTTTATATACAATTTTCAAGGTTGGGAGTTCTTTAAGAAACACTTGGTTGTGCTTCAGGACACTGTCACTTGATTTCTTCACAAGGGCCAGTACCATTTGTAAAAGCTTTATATAATATGATAAGCAGAAGTGCCCTACATGTAGGACACCTTCAGTCATGGTATGCAGTAAGCATCTATTAAAACAAAGAAGAGTTTTAATTTGGCTTCTATGAGTGCTGGGGATGGCCTGGCATTGGGTCTGCAGAATGCCTCTGCTGATTTTTCTTCTTGGGTTTTCTAAATAGCCTGTGTCATTGCCTAGGAGCCTCAGTCAGCACGTGGAATCCAGACACTGCACAGACTGAGCTATGTCTTTTGCCCATGGATCAAGCTAGGGCTGTAGGCTCAGACAGCCTCAGACTGGGGACTCTCGAAAATCTAGATTCAATGTAAACTGTACCTTAGGGGAGTGCACAAAGCTCTTGCTGTTAAAAGCCATATCTCTGAACTTTCTGTATTGCTTTCACAACTGCTGGTCATCTTACGGTCCTCTGCAGCTGTACAAGGTGCATGCCAAAGCTTTGAAGGCAGACCAGTAGCTTCCTGTATTCACTTTATGTTCACATTCTATTGAGGACACCAAGCAGAAGGAAAACATAGGAGTTTCTTTCTTGGGTCAGAGATTTTTTTTCTTGAAGAAAAAAAATAAAAAAATAACCCTGTATGTTTTAAATCATACTCCTTGGTACTTACAGTCAAGGGTAATTCTTTACTTTTCTTTATATAACAGGTGTTGTTGAAGACTGGAAAAATCTTTTCACTGAAGCTCAGAACCAGGAAATGGATGCCAAATTCAAAGTGCGCTTAGAAGGAACTAAGCTGGGAGCAAAGTTAAAATATGATGTGTACTGCAAGGTCTGAACCTCCTTTATGGAAAAAAACCTCATGTTCAGGCTGCTTTTCATTCACTTTTGTGAAATAAACAGAAACCAGGACAATACCTGATTAAAAAAATATTGAAAATGCATGTAGTTTGGAAACCTGTTTCTGCTGGCTTAACTTACTCAAGCAACCCTTGCTTGTGCAGCTAATATCATTGACTTCACTGGCTTTTCTTAAATGATCTGTAGTTCTTTGGCCTCACTTGTTTTTTAACACTGATTTTTAGCTAATAATTAATTTTATGTTACCTGATAGAATCCTATGTGGGATATATATATGCAGTAGCTAAACCTACTGAAATCACTGGAAGTATATTTGGTACATTGGAAGTGATTTTCCAAGAGATTTTTTTTAAGCAATCATAAAGTGTCATAATTTTAATTCTTAATTTCTACGTTCAAAGTACTAATTTATAATTTATGAGGTTCATAGTATAAAATGAAATTTCAAAAGGTCATGTTGTAGTTGTGTCTTTTGCTACTTTCTGTGTGCTGATGAATGTGACAAGTAAAGGAACTCAGTGGTGGAAATTTTCTTCCCCTTTTGGCAATAATATTTTTTTTTTCCATTGATGATGTGAGATCTCATCCTGAGCAGCTAAAGGAGTTGCCTTGGATAGAACTTGCTCATGGAGATTGGAGTCCCCCTCCTGGTGGTGGCTTGCTTTGTTGCTTCACCTCAACGCAGGGTTACTCGTGGGAAATTGAAAACATATGTTGAGAACACCAGGTTTTGTCCACTTGATTGTTGGGACTTCTGACCTGTGGGATAGAGGAGCTCTCACTGGAGCAGGTTTGCTGCAGGATTTGTGACCCTGCAGGGGACACATGCTGGAGCAGTCTGTTCCTGAAAGGCTGCATGGAAGGGACCCACACTGGAGCAATCTGTTCCTGAAAGACTGCACCCCATGTGAGGGACCCATGCTGGAGTAGTTTGTGAAGAACTGCAGCCTGTGGGAAGGACGCACGTTGGAGAAGTTGGTGGAGGACTGTCTTCTGTGGGAGGTACCCTACACTGAAGCAGGGAAAGAGTGTGAGGTACCTTCCCCTGAGGAGGGAGGTGTGGCAGAGACAATATATGATGAATTGACCAGAACCCCCATTGCCCATCCCCTTGCACTGCTGCTGGGTAGAGATAGACAAACTTTGGAGTAAACTTCAGTCTGGAAAGAAGGAAGGGGTGAGGGGAAGGAGTTTTTAAGATTTGGTTTTATTTCTCATTTATTTCTCATTATTCTACTGGAAAACCACAGGTTTACCACAAGTGAACTTCAGTGCATAGTTAGGAATGTCTTGTAATTTTGTAGAAAAGGATCAAGGCAGATGTGAATTTGCTTTCAAGATTAACAGCTGTAATAATGGCCATTTAAAATTAAAAAGTGGGGTACCAGTGAGGATTGAAGAGGGAAACAGAACAACCCAAACCGTATCAGAATGAAGTGGGTTAATACTAAACAAATGGAATTTTCAGGTCACTAAAGCTATGTCAATCAAATCTGAGGTTCCCTGTAAGCTTTACATGTGCACTAGAAAAAAAGCAGCAGCATTCCTTGGCAATTTGCCTCAGCTGTACCTTGCTGCAGCAGTAGGTCAAGATCATAGCTAAGCAATTAATAAAAGGATGTTCAAAAGACTTTGTTCTTTGTTTGAGGATGATGTTGAAACAGGAACGCTACTTCCTGTGAAAGTAGGTTGCCTGAATTACTGATAGATCAGTGATAGCCAGCCTGTCCACTTAAACCACTGTATGTCTCAGTTTAAGATTATGATGAAGTGTTCCAGGGTAGTTCAAGAGGATATCCTATCTCAAGATGCTAAACAGGCTACTCTTAGATTTTTACAGCTTTTGACCACCTGAGGTGGTTTATCTATCTCAGGGAACATTTTATAGGTGACATCCTTAAATTCCTTAAATTCCTTCAGTTTGATCTGCACATTCTTCTCAGCACATACTCAGTAATTGCCAGCAAATGACAAGTATTAAGTGTGTAAGACAAGTGAGTGTGAGGGGTGACTGATTTTTTTTTGCAGCTGTGTGTTGTAGTTTTGGTTATGTTAAAAATGATATGGGGAGGGGGGTAACAGGGAAAGCAGCTAGACATAATGTCACCAGAGATAGGATTTGTAGCTTCCTCAAGCACTTCAGCCATTCCAGATGAAAAAACACTGTGAAGTGCTTTGAGATGGTGGCATTTAAGGTCAAATCCAGTAGCCCACGATGACTGCAGACAAACTAAACAGAAGATTCAGACCCAAAAGAAAAATTAAACTCCTCATTGTGGAAAATCACCAGTCATAAAATTTTTCATCCATACATACAGGGAACAATTTTGGATATATATTTTCCATTTCTATATTTTATATACTTTGTAGGTATTTTTGCTTTTATACTCTTCATTATGGTAATCAGCAGTAAAACTTTAAATGGTATTTTTTACACACAACATTTAAGGAGTATGTTGGATCATTCAGCTTCTAAAGAAGAGTTTTTTTCACTCCCTGACCATAGTCTTGTTTTTATTTTTTCTGTATTTGTGATCTGCTTCACACGATTTTTCAGTAGATGTAGGTATTTTATGATGTCTGCATTTATGGTAACTGGTAATTGCTGCTCTATTAGTAGTTCTGTCACATCTATTTCCCTTATGGGTGGTTCAGTAATAATCATAAGGCAAGAAAGTATATTAAAATCATATTGAAAAAGAGAAATTTGAGGTCTTCTCCAAAAGAGAAGCGTAAATGTATCTTTCGTATGCAAGAAATGGCTCCCTTGTGTGTGTTCAGAGTGTCAATAACCCAACCAAAAATGAAGAGAATTCTGGTTCTGAATTATAATAAAAGTAAAATGGGATCAAAGCAGACAGAACTGAGCTCAATTTTCTCATTTACAAAATGCGAGCATTTCATATTGCAGTACCTTAATTGGAAAGATGTTGTTGAATTACAATAGAATTGCTGTAAAAGTACAGGGCACATATGACATCCACAGGAACATCAAATAATTTTTTTTCTGAAGGTAGCCTGGCTGTTAGAATGGATGCAAAATGGATTTATAATGAAGGGGGACATGAAATACAGTCATTGAAATAATTTTATGGCAGCAGATGCCTGGAGTCGTCTTCTAATGTGTTTTATTTGTTAAAATCCTCACACTTTGTTCTGAATTTTGGCTGAATGATCACCTTTGGTGGGGATTAGCACTCCCTTTTTACTCTGAACACACTGCAGAGCTTGGCAATGTACACTGGAAGTGTTGAAATGAGACTGGTCAGTGTTCATTCTGCACGATAATATTGTCAGGAGAAATAGAGAACAATAGCATTATGAATGAGAGCATACTGTGCTGTGCCTGAGTGCATTGCTAGAGCACTCTGGTAAAATGTTATTGATGTTCATATGTTTATAGTCATGGATACAATTGTCCTGTATTGCTGTCACACTTTGTGATACTTGTAGATCGGATAATAGGAAGTGTTAGCTGATAAAAGATTCAGTTTGCATCTGAGTTGACAGTTTTTCATAGGATCATTTGGCTTCTGCAAAAAACTTTAGAGGCTTGAAGAAGATAGAAAGTCTTTGCTCAAAATGTGAGGCAGTCAGGAGCACTCAGGAAGTAAAAGGAGGCTGGGGAACTGCTGTCTTGGGAGGCCTCTGTACTTGTGAATAATGGAAGTTTATTGGCATATGCTTGTGGGGTCTCCAGTGAGTTCCTTGCTGTTTCGCATTTTACAAGCCAGTGAATCTGCTTTTCATTACTAGAACACTCATTAACGTTCCCCTAGCAGGAAAATGAGTCATAGGTTCATTACTGTGTATTTCTGATCTTTCCATAGGCAATGTATTTGTAACTAGAGGAAAAAAAGAAATACAATATAATCTTAGGCATTAGACATATGTCGCCCAAAATAAGAAAAACCAAACAACCCAACAACCAAGCAAACCCAGAAAACTTCTGATCTTCCCTCTTCTTCATTTCTTTTCTGCAGGCATAGAAGAGTGATTGGAATAAGTTCTGCACATGAGTGAGCAGGTCTCTTTCATTCCTTGGGCGAATATTTATGCTGACTACAGTTTTCATTTCTTTTCCAGTCTCCCAGCACAATCCACCCTGTTTTTCCCAAATTACATGGAATCGTTTTTTATTTAGAAAACTGTTTATCACCGGAGAAAAGTTACCTTAATGTTGTGGTGCTGAGGGAACATAAAGAGGAACTTTATGCATGGAGGTGGTGAGACTTCATGCCGGTGGGTGAGGGGGACCCTGGGATCCAGTCTGCCCGTGCCTGTGTGAGCTGGAGCATGGTTTCTGCCAAGGTGCCATTAAATAGTCTTCCTGTTAAACAGGATGGCCCTGTCCCAGGAGGATGGGGTGTTAACTGGAGTAGGACAAGGAGCAGCGGTGGAGGCTGGGGTTCCCTGTGCCTCAGTCCCTCTGAAATCAGGTGACAGTGTCATGTCAGACATGGGCCCAGGGCCCTCGCCACGCTGAGGGGAGGTTGTGGAGGAAAAACCACTCTTGTCTCACCTCAGGAGCAGTAGAAAAGCAGGGTCTTCCATGGCTGCCAGAGCCCAGTGGCCTGGGGCTCTGCTGCTAAGAGTCCTCTCTCCTGGATGTGCTGCACTACTTTTAAAGGTGAGAGGAGCTGTCCTCTTGTGTCTGAAAAATACGGTTCACTCTCAGAGGCAAACGGACTGGGGGTCAGTTCCCATCCTGGTGACTGACACACCTCGTGTGCCAGCAGGCCTGGGGCAAGCAGTGTTTGCACAGTGGTAAACGTGGTCCCCTCCATGCTCTAAATCCTGGCCTCCTGAGGATTTTCTAGCAGTAAAGCCTGGCTGTGGTCTTACCAGAGAGTGCAGACATGGTGTGGGAGCATGTGGAGGAATGGCAACACACAAAGCGAGCAACCCTGGAAAGGAGAGCGGCTCTGAAGCCGATGAGGTTTGATGAGTGTGTTCCCATACAGCTGGAGATCATAATTTGGAGAAAAAAGCCTTGGGAAAGACACTTGCTCACGGGTGCTGGTGGGAAGTGTGCATGTGCTGGAGACCCTCAGGGGTGTCCAACAACAGATGTGTTTGAGTGCTGGGGTTTGCTCAGGCCTCCTGCTGTTGTACCCTGGAGCACAGTATTCGTGATGGAGGGGTAAACATGGCAATAAACAATCCTCTGCAGCTATCAAAGGTGAATGTCTCTGTGGCACTTTAATTGCCTTTGCAGGCCACTTTATGCCTCTCTGGCCCCTGTGTCTGGCCCTGACTGTTGCCGTTTTAAATAAGCAATCTGAAGCACAAGAGACAGAGTATGTATTTTATACGTGGGTGATTGC